CACACACACACACACACACACACACACACACACACACACACACACACACCCCGTCTCTCTCTCTTTCAGCAGCTCCAACTATGTGTCTCTTCTCTGGTCTCTCTTTTCACTCTCAACATTGCCTCTTTCTCAGATTCCTAGGAGAAGTTGACCAAGCCTCAGGAATGGGGGGAGATTACGGCGCTTGGTTCAGCACCATGGACAGTAGGAAGCCCCATGGACCCCCACCTCCTCCCCTCCCAGTGTTGTAGTCGCTACTCCAGTGACTAGGGCAGGAGGGCATCCGTGATTCTGGCCTCCCTCTCCCAGGAGTGAAATTCCAGAGCTTCAGTCTTTGTTTTCAAGATATCTCAGACCTGAGTCTCTTTGGTTTCAGGTCTAACTATTTGCAAAATCAAGAGCCCTTTTGGCCCAGGGTTTTCTACAAACTTGTCCCAGTGTTTTTCTCCGGTCCCCATGTGTTGACATACCCTAAGGGACTTTCTCTCTCTGCTGAGCGGACAGAGGACGTCCTGGGTGATAAGAGATGTCTTGAAATCAGTTTCTAGGCTGCTGGGGAGAGACATCTTAGAGAAACACTCAGAGCAGTAACTTCTAAGCAGCATTAAGCCACCCTGGACAAAACCTCCAGGGTACCCTTGGTTGGCCTGGACTGGCACTGACCCCATTTGCAGAGAGAACAGCTGAGTCTCCAGGAGAGTCCCTTCACTGTCAGGTGGCCCTCGGGAAGGACCCCTCACCCCAGCCCACTCGAGGGAGGCTGGACGAGGTCTCAGGTTGGCCCCTCTCTGCCCCGCAGTCCTTCTTCCACACGGTCCTGGAGAACAGTCCCCACTGCGACACCATGGTGGACAACAACCTGCGCATCACCAACTGGAACCGCAAGCTGGGCTGCAAGTGCCAGTACAAGCACATCGTGGACTGGTGCGGCTGCTCCCCCAACGACTTCAAGCCGCAGGACTTCCACCGCTTCCAGGTGAGCCGCGCCTTCCAGCCAGCGTCTGCAGGCATCCAAGGCAGCCCTGCAGGTCATTGGATCCTGCAATTCCCAACCCTGGTTTTTTTTTTTTGTTTTTTTTTTTTTTTTTGCGGTACGCGGGCCTCTCACTGCCGTGGCCTCTTCCACTGCGGAGCACAGGCTCCGGACGCACAGGCTCAGCGGCCATGGCTCACGGGCCCAGCCGCTCCACAGCATGTGGGATCTTCCCGGACCGGGGCACGAACCCGTGTCCCCTGCATTGGCAGGCGGACTCTCAACCACTGCGCCACCAGGGAAGCCCCCCCAACCCTTGTTCTTGATGATAATCATGACAACGTCAACAGTAGCCAACGTTTATCGATCACTAACACCATGCAAGGGATGTTCTAACCACTTTCCCTGTATTGACCCATTAACCCTACAACAGCCTTAGAAGATACATACATACATAGATTATTATTCCATTTTAGAGATAGGGAAACTGAGGCAGAGAAAGTTCCATAACTTTATGCAAGGTCACATAGCTCAACATATCTGTTTCCAAAGGCCATACTTGTATCCATTTCTCTATACTGCCTTTCAATCAGAATCTCCTGAAATATTTGTTAAAAATATATTTCTGGGTACAAACTTGATTAGAGGGCAGAGTTTCTCAACCTCAGCACTCTTGACATTGTGGCTGGGTAATTCTGTGTTGGGGTGAGGGGGCTGTAGGATGTTAAGCAGCTTCCCTGGCCTCTACCCACTAGGTGCCAGGAGCGCCTCCCCCTGTTGTGATAACCAGGGACGTCCCCAGATGCTGCCTAATGTCCCCTGTGGGGATCCAGTAGCACTCTGCAGTTACGACAACCAGGAATGTCTTCAGACATTGCCAGCTGTCCACTGGTGGCAAACTCATCCCCATTTGAGAGCTTTTGATCTCCAGTGTGGTCCAGGAATTTTTATTTTTAATATATTACACTTTGAGAAATTCTGATGAGCAGACAAGTTTGTAAAACACCGCGCTCTGTGAACTTTAAAGGAGGAACAAGAAGAAACGTTATTGCCTTCACAGGTATCTCTGCAAGGCCCATCGATTCATAGTTCTGGGGAGAGCAGAGACAGGAGGGTGGCCAGTGCCCCATCTGCTTCCCGTGAGCACCAAGGGTGCCTTGGACCCCAGACCTATTCAGGATGACGACCTCTTCCCACCCCGTGTGAGCACACCTCCCACTCCCTTTAGGCCAGTACCCTGAGTTCTTCCTCCTCTCCCCCTCACCATGCCCAGCCTCAACTGCCCAGAGCACAAACAGAAGGCTACAAAGTGGTTAAACAAGTCACTTTGAGGTCACTAGAGCCACCACGTGGAGATGATGTGCTGCTTCCCAAACCACTAACGTGGGGGAGGATGGGGGGGGACAACAGTGTCAGACTGGTAACCCAGTCCAAGGTGCCCCTGCTGCCTTGCTCTGGTACGTAACGGAAACGTCCAGGGAGGACACGGACTACCACGTGAAGCTTCCACCCTCGTAGCCTGGTTCCTAGGAGTGTGGTCCACAGACCAGCAGCAGCAGCATCACTAGGCAACTTGTTAGAAATGCAGAATCTCTGCTGCTCCTGACCTGCTGAGTCAGAATCTGCATCGTAACGAGACCCCCAAGCCACTAGAAGGCTCTCCTGTTTGAGAAGCACGGGGTACGGGTCTGTTCTATCCCAGGCTGTGTGCCTGGTCCCCTGTGGGCGTTGCCTTCACCGGGTAGAAATCATCTCCATTGTGCAGGTGGGGAAACCAAGGCACAGAGGCAGGACTTGCTTGTCCATGGACATGCAGCTTGTGGAGTGGTAGGGTGGGAGGTCCCACACAGGTGTTTCCAGTTCCAGACCTGGGCTTTTTCCACCAGACCCTGCTGCCAGCCTGGTCTCATGCCTGGTCGGGTGCAGAATACACAGCAGGTTTCATCCCATCCTTCTTATTCCCTCAAGGTTCCCACCTAACGTCTTTCGCCTGCGTAAGCAGTTGCTGCAATAAGTATTCTTTAGTCTGTTTTTGGTGGCAGATTGAGAGCTACCCGGGGGCCTCCTCAAACCCATGTTAATTGAGGCATGAACTTGGGTGACATTTTAGTTCCATTGTCCGTGCAGAAAGGATCTGCTGAGCAGAAGGAGGGTGGCGAGGGGAATATTTGACCTATTCAAAAGAGAAAATAGAGAAGAATTCCCACTTTCGTAGAGGACCAGTCATCACCCTCATTGCAAAGGACCTTCATCATTTAGAGCAAGAAGCCGGGTGATTCTTGGGTGCACTGCCCCTCTGGGGCCACTCCTGGGCGCCGGCACTTGTATTCCAGTCCCAGCATCCTGGGGACATCGTGGTCTCTGACAAAGATGAGCTGACATAGAGACTGAGTTACATGCTCACAGCTCTTTAATTCGCAGTAAACAAAGATCAAGAATATCCCCCAACATCTAGACTCAAGAAGCTGCTGCCTGCACGGAACTCTTGAGTTCTTGTTGAAAGAACTCCGAGGAAGAGAACTGTAAATATAGAAACGTGCCCTTTAGGAGCTCCAGCTATGATCAGAGAATCTCGGGAGGAGAAAGGAGGCTGCCCTGCCACTGAGTCTGGTTCTCTGCCTCCAGAAAACGAAGACTTGGAAGCCCCTGGTAGCAGGCTTAAGGGTGTAGTGATAATAGTCACATACTCATAGCTGCTAACACCGTGTGCCAGACTCTATGCTAAGTACCCATATTATTATACCCATTTTAAGGATGGGGAAACCGAGGCCCTGGATGACTTGCCCAAAGACATACACAGCTTGAAAGATGCAGAATGAGGATTTGAACCTACGTGGTCTGGCTCTTTTCAGTGCTACTATAAGGGAACTGACCTGACCCCTTCACCACAGAGAAGGGGGTGTGGTTCCCAAGGGTCATGAAGCAGAGAGCAGGTGGGATGTTCCAAATACTAACAAGGGTTTTTGTTATTGAGGCTTCGAGTTCCCCCAACTAGCAGTGTGATCCTAGGATGATGCAGAAGAAAGAGCTTGGGTTTTAGAGTCATCGGATCTGAGTTCAAATCTTTACAACTGTGTGAGTTTGTACATATCACTTGCCCTCTCCAAGCTCAGTTTCCGCATCTGTAAAATGGGAATCGTAACACCTGCTTTGCAGAGTTACGAGGATTAGAGTTGGGAGGATTAGAGGTAATGACAAAATGCAGTGCGCTGTATATAGCACGTGCTCAGGAGTTTTTATTGACATTATTGTTGCTATTAATCCACTGCAGTGAGAACAATGCTAGACCCAAATTAAGGTCAATAATTACACTAGATCATAGGCTCCTCAAGGGAGCGGTCTGTGTTTTAATTGTTTCCGTAGCCCTAGACCAGAGGTCAGCAAACTACAGCCCCTGGGCTAACTCCAGCCCACTGCCTGTGTGTGTAACTAACGTGCTTTTGGAGCACAGCCGCTGCCCGTTCATTTACCTGCCTGCGGCTGCGTTCACACTATGACAGCAGAGTTGTGTAGTTGCAAAGCTGGAAATACTTATTGTCTGGCCTTTTGCTGAAAAGGTTTATTGATCTCTGCCCCAGACCGTAGTTTTAGACCTGGTAGATAATAAGGGCTCAGTATTTTATTTCTCTAACCCTTGATGCTGTATCTGAATCCTGGCTCTGCCATTACCTTGCTGTGTGACCTTAGATAAGTAAGTCCCTTTCTTCTCTGGGACTCAGCCTCCTTGAAAATTTGGTTTACATAAATGGTTCTCAAACACTGCAGCACAGTCACCTGGGAGGCTTTTTTTGGATACGGATTCCTAAACCTCATCTTCAGAGATGTTGGTTCAGTAGGTCGGTGGGAAGGACTCCGCAGTCTCCACAGGTGGCTCTGATGTGCAGCCAGGTCAGGTGTCCTTCGCATTAGCCTCAAACCCTAGTGAGCAAATGAACCACCTTCAAAGCCTGTGAAGAATACGGATTTCTAAGCCCCACTCCTGAAGGTTCCGATCGGTAAATCCAGGGTATCCTTGTGAGTCTGTAAGTCAGTTACAATGCCCAGGAGGCAATAGGGAATGGTAGGGACTGTGGTGAGCCAAAAACCCCATGGCCATCTAAAGGGACAGGTGCTATTCAGCTTTAACTACTTGTCACCGTGTAGGAACATGGGGCCAGATCGTTTCTGTTCAGAGGGAAACCAAAAGTTGCTTCTGTAAAGTCTTCTACCTTTTAAATGTTGTCAGCTAATTCAATTTTAAAACATTCTTCTGGACAACTAAAATATATCCGTAAGAGGTATTAGACCTCCAGCTAAATGATTTCTGAGATCCATCCCAGCTATAAACATCTAGGATATAATTTATTTCACAGATATTTAAGTGATGCTTACTACATGTCTATCATTGCTCTAAATGCTTTACAAATGTTAACTCGTTCAATCCTAACACCCTTTTTACAGATGAGGAAACTGAGAACAGAGAGGGCAGTAAGTGTCAGAGCTGGGATGTGGATCCAGGCAGGCCGGCTGCAGAGCCCGGCTCCTAAATGCCCACCTACCCTCATCCCCACTTGCTGACACTGTTCTTTTTATTTCATGAGCGCAGCAGACAGCCCGGCCCACCTTCTTTGCCCGCAAGTTCGAAGCCGTGGTGAATCAGGAAATCATTGGGCAGCTGGACTATTACCTGTATGGGAACTACCCCGCGGGCACCCCGGGCCTCCGCGCGTACTGGGAGAATGTCTACGATGAGCCTGACGGCATCCACAGCCTGAACGACGTGACACTGACCTTGTATCATTCCTTCTCCCGCCTGGGCCTCCGCCGGGCGGAGCTGTTGCTGCACGACGCCGGGGAGAACAGCTGCAGGTGAGCCAGGGAGCAGGGGGACCAGGGATGAGGGAACGTCCTCCTCTGTAGGGGCTGCGGCTCCACCCAAGCTTCTCCCTAAAACCATCCACGCAGACATCCCAGCGTTCAGAGCATTTCCTGTCTAAGCCTTCGTCACCGTTTTACCTTCGCAGGATGGCAGATCTAATATTTACCTAATTATTTCCTTTCTGTGGACTCATTCTTTGTGCTAAATATATGTATTTTAGAAGGAAGCTTTATGTCACCGTATTAGATAGTTATTTTTGTTCCACATGGAAAGTAATCATGAAAATACAGAACTTTTTTTTTTACTTTTTATTATGGAAAATGTCAAATATACACCAAATAGAGAGAAAAGTGTAACCCCATCTCTCATCACCAGCTCTAGCAATTACCAGCTCCCGGCCAATGCGGTTTCATCTGCGCCTTCACTCACCTTCCCCTCGTCCCAGGTCAGTTTGATTGAAGCAAATCCCATAAATATTTTATCTCTGAAAATTGACTCCTTTTTAAAGTGTAACCATACTATCATTGTTACACCTAAAAACATAACCAAAAACATCACGAAAAGGCATAACTATTATTTAAAATGTTCATGTACCCTTTAGAATCATCTCACCTACCACTAGTGGGTACTAGTTGACACTTCAGGAAAGAATGTTCTAGAATATATGAATAGAAGACGGAAGGTGGGAAAACGATTCAACATAACCCCATCTCTCCCCTGCCTTTCCCTAAGCCAGCCAACCCTTCTCATTTTGTGTACCTTCTCTTCCGTTCTCTAGCAATGTACATTGCAGATATTTCCACAATGACAACAAAAATTTGGTGTCCTGCTTCTTTCGCTCGGCATTATGATACTAGCCCGTCTTCTCCTTGCTGCTCTGCAGCTTCCTTAAGGATAATGACCCTTTTTTTTTTTTTTTTTGCGGTACGCGGACCTCTCACCATCGTGGCCTTTCCCGCCGCGGAGCACAGCCTCCGGACGCGCAGGCTCAGCGGCCACGGCTCACGGGCCCAGCCGCTCCGTGGCATGTGGGATCTTCCCGGACCGGGGCACGAACCCACGTCCCCTGCATCGGCAGGCGGACTGTCAACCACTGCGCCACCAGGGAAGCCCTAATGACCCTTTTTAATGCCACTAGTATTCCACTGAGTAGGAATTCCGGAGTTTGCTTAATTCAGCCCTTTCCTGTTGCTGTTGTCAGTAATGGACCATTGTACATAATGTTCTGATGAATATCTTTTTGCAGAAAGCCTCTTTTATCCCCCTTCTCTTTTCTGATTATTTCCTGAGGATGGGTTCCCAGAAGTGTCTCTAGCCACTCTCCTTCTCCTTCTTGTTCTGCCTCCCACCTTCCTCTTTAAACAACAAAGAAAAAAAAAGTATTAATATCAGTCTTTCCCCACTGAGCCTTCTGTGTCCCTCCCTGCCCCGCTCTTCCCTCTTCTCAAGAACAGAAGAAAGAGAGGAAAGGAACCATTTTGTTCCCTAAAACTCTGAAAACATGGGGCCCCATGCATGCACACCAGCTGGATTTCCACAGGGCTGCAACAGTTTTTCCCTCAGCCTTCCCTCTCCTCTCCCTGCAGGTTCTGATTTAGTTAAAAGGGAGACCAGCATGGGTTAGGAACCCAGGACCTGCCATTTGAACTCCACTCTACTTACTAGCTATTGACCTTGGACAAGTCATGAACCTCTCAGAGGCTCAGTTTTCTCATCTGTAAAATGGGAGTGATCATAAGCCTTACAGCATATGGTGGTGTGAGGTTTAACGGGGATAATCCTCCAAAACTATCTTATGAGTTATGTATTATTATTATTAGCCCCATTTTAACAGTATTTTACATATGAAGTGCTTGGTACATGTTTATGCTGTTGTTGGTATCTTAGTTGCCAATATTCTTAAACTGCCAAAAGCAGCCAATAGGGAGCCGGCTGTGTGAGCTACACGCTCCATCACTGGTTACGTGAACTGTTCATCGCTTCCTCTGCGCTGTTCTTTGCTGACCGTCCCCACTGTCGCCACTCATTCTACCTTTTCCCAGTCTTCCAGGGTCATCTCAGGTGCCACATCCTCTGTGAAACTTGCTAAGAGCTCCCCTGATAGCCCACCCCGTGCCTCTCCTGAGCCCAAAGCAGCCTCCAACACTCCCACTGCACTTAGCAGCAGTGTCTTGGATCAAGGCCGTTGGTGAATGTCTTTTCCCCCTGCTGGTCCGGGGTTAGAATCCCTGGCCGAGGAACCACATGTGTGTCCCCAGTAGATGGCACAGTGCCCGATGCTTGGGAGGCAAATGCCGTTTAAGAGTAGTTTTAATCCCAGGCTGCATAGCATTTATAAGGTAAATAATCTTACAGAAAATTTCAGAAGATTCCTCCAATTGATTTATAGTTGTTGAAATTTTCACCTGGTATTTGTTTTGGGATTAAGCAAGCCATCAAGTTGCCTCAGGCCCGGAATCCTTTGGCTTCTACCCCATTTTTTATTATAATGGAACCATTGTGCCTGGCTGTGGGAAAAGCCAATATATATTTATGAATATGAGCCTGCAAATAAATCAGGACAAAGGACCCTTGTCCCAAAGGCCAAAAAGAGTAAATTTCTACCCCTGGGCTATCTGGGGAAACAGCAAGTGAAAACTTTATTTCAGGAGTCTCATTTCCTCTGGGCATTTCATGCAAATTGTGTCTTTCTAGTCTATAGTATAACCTTTCATAAAAATAATGTTTATGGATTTTTTTCTCATTAGGTAATAACATTTGTTCATTGCAGAAAATCTCAAAATGGCAGTTTGAAAGTTTTCTTGTGAGCCCCATCCAGAGATAAGGAAGTCAGTATTTTATTACATGTCCTCAAATTCAGATGCCATCAGGACCAGGCAGGAAGCATGTATCCTCAGCACGGGGTGGGCTGACCTGTAAACCAGGGACCCCCGCCGGGGCCCCGGTGCTGAACGCCAGCATATCCTTGCCCTCCGGCACATTCCTTGTAGGAATGTACCTTTGGAGTTGCCAGTCACATCTCCTGAATTTTCAAGACAAATCAGAAATCCACAGTTTTGTGTGAGCCTCCTAATTTTTTTAATACCCACCGCATTTAAATAAGAAGCAAAAGCACCTTTGGGCCAAGTGAACGCACCTGAGGCATCCTTTAGGTCCTATTGTATTGCACCTGGCATCTTGTTACAACTCCCTTCTTAGTCTTAATTACTTAATTACCATATAGAGTCTAGAGGAGGTACCAGTGGGCTTTGTGTTCAGTCCTGGGTTACAGGTTCCCTAGATGTACCTTAGAAGCAAAGGGTTCAAGAGAAAATCCTTCTAGAATCGTCCCTCAAACAGTAAGTATGGATTGAGCACCTACCATGTGGCAGGCTGTTAGGCACTGGGTGCTCAGCCATGACCCAGACAGACCAGGTCCCGAGCTCAAGGCCCTCCCATGCTAGTGTGAAAGCAGGCTGTACCCCAGCTCACAGAAACAAGAACAAAAGATCTATAGAGAATGAAGAATGAAGATAAACTCAAGTAACAGCAGTGAGCTGGTGACTTAAGTTCAGGGGTCAAGGAAGGTCTCTCTGAGACGGTAACATTTAAGCAAATTAAGACAGAGACAACTATGCAACCATAAGAGGAAAAGAGCATCTCCAGCAGAGAGAATGTCCTATGCAAAGGCCCTGAGGTGAAAATGAGCTTAGCATGTTCAAGAATCCAAAATAAGGTCCACGTGGGGCTTCCCTGGTGGCGCAGTGGTTGGGAGTCCACCTGCTGATGCAGGGGACACGGGTTCGTGCCCTGGTCCAGGAAGATCCCACATGCCGCGGAGCTGCTGGGCCCGTGAGCCATGGCCACTGAGCCTGCGCGTCCGGAGCCTGTGCTCTGCAACGGGAGAGGCCACAACAGTGAGAGGCCTGCGTACCACAAAGAAAAAAATAATAATAATAAGGTCCACGTGGCTAGAAGGTGGTAGGTTGGGACGGAGGGAAACAATGAGGCTAGAGAAGGAGGTAGGAGTTTTAGACCAGGTAAGGAGTCTGGGTTTTACTCAAGCATAAGCAGAACCCCTTGCGGTATTTAAGGAAGGGACAATGCATATTGCTACTATGAGAATCAGTTATAGCAGACAAAAGTAGGAGGAAGACGAGTAAGGACGCTTCTGCAAAGGTCCAGCAAGACGTGATGTTGGCTTGACCAAGATGCTGGCGGTGCATAGGACAGTAGAGGATGGATTCAGGTGGAGAAAACAGGATTTCTTGGAAGAAGATAAGGGAAAGCGAGCAACTCAAGATTAACTCCTAGATTTCTGGGGCACTTGACCATTGCTCGTTTGCCTGACCCCTTAGCAGCGCCCCATACAACTGACCACCGCCTTCTGGAAACACTTTCTTCTTTTAACTCCCATGACAACAATCTGTCCTGCTTTTCTTCCACCTTTACTAGTCAAACACTGACGACCTACCATTTACCTATTGCAATAATGTCATGTAACAAGCCCCAAATCAGTGCTTTGAAACGAAAAGCATTTACAGAGCCTTCAAGTTTGCAGGCGAGCTGGGCAGCTTTCCTGGGCTCAGCTGGCATCTCTCCTGCATCTGCAGCCAGCTGTAGGTCTTGGCTGGGAGTGGTTGGCGGGTCTAGGATGGCTTCGGCTGGGATACCTGGGGTGGCTCGGCTCTGCTCTGAGTGTCTCATCCCTCCACAGGCTACTCTAGGCGTGCTCTCATGGTGATCACAGAAGAGCAAGAGAGAGAGTGGAAACGTGCAAGGCTACTTGGGGCCCTGGCTCAGAACTGGCATGATACATCCCCCTCTTCTGGCCAAAGCAGATTGGAGATGGGGGAATAGACTCACCTCATCGGTGCAAGGAAACCTACAGAGTCACATGGGAAAGAGACAGGAGAGGTGACAAATTGCAGACGTTAATGCAGGCAACCCCAGGACGCTCTCACAGTGCCATCTATGCTGTCCACAGTCGTCACTAGCCACAAGGAGACATTTAAGTCTAAACTAACGACAATTTCAAATGCAGTTCCTCGGTTACACCAGCCACATTTCAAGTGCTCAGTTGTCAGAAGTGGCCGAGGCTACTGAACTGAACTGCACAGATGCAGAACCTTCCATCATGGCAGTGAGTTCTGCAGCACAGTCCAGAGGGAGGGTTTTCTGCTTCCAAAGTCCAGACCAAAGTGGACTTGCGTGGGCCGGGAGTGCCCAGCAAGCAGTCTGAAGACAGTGCAGGGTTTTTTTCTCAAAGCCCCGAAGGCATCCGATAACAAGGCAGTGATTTCAGGATATGCGTAACACAGGAAGGCAGCTTCCCTAACTGTTATAATCAGACATAAAGACTTAAACTCCAGAGCAGGACCAGAGGAAAGGAAGGCTGAGAGGGACAGTGATTTGTGGAATGCTGTCATTAAGGAACCACAAGCACCCTCTAAGTACCATGCGCCTTACACACTGCAGAAGCCGACAGCTTTTCACTTCACAAGTAGGAAGGACAAAGAACTGGGCTCGTCCAGGCTCCTCCCTCCTCTGGGCATCTCTGCTTAGCTTCCCTGCCCCTTTCAGCGAGAAGCCTTTGCGGATCAAAGGCATGCATCTTAAAACGAGCTACCTACTTGTGTATGTACGAATTTATCTCAGTTTGGCAATAATTTTTAAGGACCATACCCAGTGCCACTGGTAAGGACAGTGAAGTGTAAATCAGTACAACCTTTCTGATAAACTTGGGCAGCAGACATCAAGAGCCCCTTGGAGATTACAGAGGAAGAGAGATGTTCCCCAAAACATTTTTGCTCAAGGACGGTTAATGCAGCATTGTTTAGAATGGCAAAAAATTAGAAACCAGTTGAACACCCAATGATGGGGAACTTTCTCTATAATATAATAATACCATATTTGGTATTATATTTCCATATCATGGTATTACATACAATGGAAGAATGTATACACACACACACACACACACAAATCATGTTTTCAGAGACTATTCAAAGACATGATAACGCTCAGGAAATACTATGAAGCAAGAGCAGGATATAGCCAGTGTGTATATTATGGTCCCAGCTCTGTAGGATTTATGTAAATATGTGTGTAGAAAATAAGGCTGAAAAGAAATATGTCACGATGGCATTGTTTGCACACCGTTGTCGCTTCTCAGTACCTAGCGCTGGAGGGTCAGCGAATGTCTGTGAATTGACGTCGTCTATGGAAGGAAGCATCAGAAGTCGTCGTTTCTATTTTCTTGATGGTACTTTCACACAGTCAGCATGTTTTACATTTATGATCAGCAAAAGGTTACTGTTAACAGTTATTGAGATCATAGAATCACAGGAAGCAGCTTTCGGGAACACAGCGAGCTTTGTATAAAGTGGGGATTATTTTAAGGACAGGACCAGCGTGATGGGTGGGGAACCCCACTGTGACCCAACACACGTCCAGCCCTGACCCATGAGCTTGCATGAGCCTGTGCATGTTTTTCAGGTACTATCCAATGGGCCACCCAGCCTCTGTCCACCTCTACTTCCTTGCTGACCGTTTCCAGGGCTTTCTGATCAAGCATCATGCTACCAATCTGGCCGTGAGCAAACTCGAGACCCTGGAGACATGGGTGATGCCAAAGAAAGTCTTCAAGATCGCCAGCCCACCCAGCGACTTTGGGAGGCTTCAGTTTTCTGAGGTAAGAGGCCAGAAACTACCACACGACATCCCCTCTGGCAGTCCACTTGCTGGGTTCTGTTTCTGCTCTGACACTTGTAGTTGGAGCTGGAGGAGAAGAGGACTTGAAGAGGCCCCAAGATAAGCTGGCCCTGTGCCTGGAGAAGGTTCAGGGTGGTCGATATCAGTGCACCAACCAACCCGGAGCTTTGGTATATTTTTATAGTAGAACTTCTATTCCTTTTCATTTTTCACCCTAACCAGTGATTCCTCCTAAACCTATGTTAGTAATAAGCCAGTAACAAACCAGTTTCCTAATGAAGTTGTGGCATGAGTCCCATCTTACAGATTGGAGAACTGGGGCCTATCAGTGATTTTCTGGATCGTAGCGAGGAAGCAGAAGGGCTCAACATTGAATCCAGGCCTCTTAGGCCACAAATCCCATGCTTAATTGTGCTTTTGTTTCCCCAGTTCCTAACACAGGGTTTAACTCAAAGTAAGCACCAGATCAGTCATTGAACGGATGAGTGAACGGATGCATGCGTGCGTAGAGGGATGAACAGAGGTGTCAGTGGATGGACAGATAGATGGTCTGATGCATGGGTCCATGGGATGCAGTTCCCACCTCCCCAGGACCGCACTGGCTTTTAGTTACTTTTCTGCCTGGGGAGATGGATTCACCTACCACCACCCTCGTAACATCAGCCCCACCTCGAGACCTGAAAGGCCCTACATGGTCTGGCCTCTGTCTGCTTCTCCAGCCTCATCCAGGACCACTCTCCTTCCCGCTCACTCTTCTTGCATCTTTCTCACACATGCCAAGTTGGTTCCTGCCTCGGGCTTGACACGTGGTGATCCTCCTTCCTAGAATACTGTCCCCCAGGTTTTCACCTTTTTTGTTGTTGTTCATTCTGATCTAAGTCCAAATAGTGCACCTTCAGAGAAGCCTTCCGTGCCCACCCACTTAGGCCACCTTTCTACACCCAACACATCTCTGTTTTATTTCTTTCTTAGCATTTACCATCTCAAGTGATCTTGTTGATTTCTCTGATCACTTGGTGATTGTCTGCAAGAGAGCAGAGATCACAGCACTGGCTCACTGCTGCACCCTCAGCACATACAAGAGTACGCAGCCTTCGTAGATGCTGAATAAGATTTCTGAATGAGTGAGTGTACGTGCTTGGGTAGCGATGCTGGTGGGAAGGGGAGACATGATCAAGCTTGGTGAGCGTTGCCCACACAGAATTCCAGCACCTGATTTCTAACTTCCCCACGCCAGCAAGAAGCTAAACGGGTGATTTCATTCCCAGAGTTCAACATCCCCAATGTGTTTGGCTGCTGGGTTAGGGATGAAGAATCCTGTTTTAGAATATGGAGAATCTTGAAGGTCAGGAGTGGGGTGGGAGGAAGTGTCTGAGTTGCTTCCATTTTCCTTGCTGGTCCTTTTCCAGTCCCTCTGGCCCCACCTGGCCGACCTGTGCCCGACTGGATGGGCACTGAACAGGCATGGGTGGAAGTTTCTTGTTCAGCCACCATTTTCAGTTAAGGCTCCACATGGATTGGCCGGATCCGAGCTGCCATGGGAGCCCACTCCATAAATTACTGGCGTCAGGGGGCAATTAGACGCTGTCCCAGTTGGATTCTGTGCTGGGGGCCCAAGAGGCCAGTTGAAGACATTAATGTCCCATTAGGGAGATGGATGCCTGGTGGCTGGGCTCTCCCTGTTTATCAGCCTGCCAGTGGGTAACTGGGCACTTCCGGCAGTGACGGATGTTGGCCCCTCTGTGACTAGTGATTTGTGAGGATTTCTGCTACAGCTCTGGCGCCCTTGGTGTGGGAACCACCCAGCTCTCCGGCAGAGTAACAGCATGTGATGCAGGGAACCCTGAAACTTGTGTCTTGATTTTTTTTCCCCTTAGTTTTAAGGCAAACAGTGTAAAATTGGATGTGAAGGGGGGAACGAACTGCAGGGCCACTTTGTGGGCTATTGAGAACCTCCGTCGGGTCAGCACTGTCCCAGGGCTTTGCGTAGGGCCTGGCTCATGGCAGGCGGCCAGTGTCATTGAATAGCTCCGATTTCTCCATCCCTGGGAGTCCCATGTTAGTGGCTTAGAGGAAACATGCTCATTCCTTCAGCAGGCAGCCCCCAAGTGCCTACAATACATGAGGTGTGGGAGGGGCAGTGGTGTACCAGACAGACCAGGCCCTTGTTATTGTGGAATTGCAGTCTAGTGGGGCACTCGGCCAGTGAGTGAGCAAATAAATGAACAAAAACACTCCAGTTAAAGGCAAGTATTATAAAGAAAATAAAACTTCATTCATGTGATTCCTGAGGACTTGAGAGGCTGGTAGGGACAGCTTTCTGTTACCAAACCAAACTTGGGTCTGCTCGCCCAAGCACAGCAAAGCCAATCTACTGACACCGGGTTGTGGTGAAGGAAAGCACAGCGTTTATTCTAGGGCGCCAAGCAAGGAGTCCAGGCAGCTAATGCTCAAAAGACGCAAATTCCCTGATGGTTTTTCGGGAAAGGTTTTTAAAGACGGGATGAGGGAGGCCGGTTGTTGGGTGAATCATCAGCTCATGGACATTCTTCTGATTGTTTGGTGGTGAGGTAATCAGGAGTCAACATCATAAACCTTCTGGTTGCAAGCCATCTGGGGTCTAGTGCTTGTGGGCAGCATACAGTTAACTTCTTCCACCTGGTGGGGATTTCAATATCTGCAAAACAGCTCAAGGATATGGCTCAGGATATTAATCTGTAGCTCTTGAGGAGGAACTAAAAGGTCCTTGACTTTGTTTAATGACTAAACTCTTACTATTTTGTCTCACTTGACTGTTTTCCTTTCTTTCTGAATTTTCTCACTTCTCTAATTAAATTTATTCTGTGGAACTCAAGGAAGGCCTAGGAGGGTAAAGTTTTTATTCCAGACAAGAGGCAGGTGGAGGACCTAGGAGGATCTGTCTGGAGAAGGCCCCGTAGAGTCCTGCTGGGTTACATTTGATGGAACGATTCATTTGGGAAGGCTTTTCTAATGAGATAACTTTAGGGTTGAAACCTGTAAAAGAGTCAATGGTGGGAAGACCTAGAACATTCTTGGATCTTCCAAGAGAAGAGCGTGCACAAAGGTCCTGAGGCTCCAGGAAGGAGGTTGGCATATTCAAGGAGCAGCAAGGCCAGTGTGGCCAGTGAGAAGGAGGAAGGTCTCAGGGGGCCAGAGGACAGATCATGAGGGGTCTCGCAGGCCCTAGAAGGAAGTTTGAATTGCATTTTAGGTGCAGTGGGGAGGAAGCCTTGGTGACTTTGAAGCTGGGGACCAGTACATTGAGCTTGAACTTCAACACGTACTTAAATTTGAGTAATTGACCACTTGGCAGTGAATGGCAGTGGACTTCCACAGTGAGGCCTGGTGAGAAGACCTTGAGGGCCACAGACGATGTGACAGCAATGGGGCTCCCTCTCGGGCAGCCCCGCCTCCCCTCATGTTTGGAGGCAGTAGCTGATGTCCTCCTCCTCTCCTAGATACAGGACAAATTCAAGTTTCCCACCGTCAGCTGCTCCACAGCTCTTCCACCTGGGTTATCTTGGTTTTAGAACTCAGACTTAGGAGACCTGTTCACCCCCATGTCTCTGGGGGATCCAAAGATGATGTTCTGGACTGTCCCCCCGCTCCCCTAACGGGTCATACATCCCTTCCTTAAGTAGGACCTCAGAGTGGTTTTGTGATCATTGATCCATTTGTCCATGTGCTCGGCCCCTAATCTTTCATGACACTGTAGATAACGGATGGATTGACCACATGCTCAACACTCTTCGGCACTAGTGATATAGTAGTGAACAAGCCAGATGTAGTCCCTGCCCTCATGCAGTTGACAGTTTGGGGTTTTTTTTATTTTATTGAAGTATATTTGATTTACAATGTTGCATTAACTTCTTCTCTACAGCAAAGTGACTCAGTTACACACACACACATATATGTGTATATTCTTCTTCACATGACAGTTTTGAGCTATGGAGAGAGACGTGTAAATTAGAAGTTGTGATACTGTGCAAAATAGATAGATAGATAGATGATAGATAGATAGAAGATAGATAGATAGATAATAGATAGATAGATAGGTTAAAAGGCTATGCTGGGCAAATGCTTAGACAAGCACATTAGGGGTGCCTGTAAGCAAAGAAGCCTTCCAGGTAGAGGTGACACCTGGGCTGAGAGCTAGATGATGAACTGGCCAGGAGGAGGGTGGGGAAGGAAGGAAGACTGAGCCCGAAAGAGGGCCAGGCGTGGACGGAAGATCAGGGGAGAGAGAGCCCTTCTGGCAGAGGCGCCGAGAGTGTTCCAGGGTGTCCTGGAGCATGGGGGAGGAGAGGGGAGGGAGAGGGATGGAGATGAAGCTGGAGTCGGATCGTAAAGGACCAGACCTCGCAGGATAGGACAGGAGGAAAGACTGGACTCGTGAACAGTGGGAAGGAGCTAGAAAGGATTGTATGGATGGAGGTCACAGGATCAGGTTTCTCTAGAACAATCTCTGACTTTGAGGCCTAGCTTGCATCCTGCCCACTCATTCATTTATTTCTTCAATAGACAGTGTTGTTTTCATTCCTCCTGTGTTTCAGCTGCTGTGCTAGGCCCCAGGGGTCCTCAGTAGGAGCCAGTACCTGGAGAGGGTGGCAGGGTGGCAGAACAGGCCAAGATCTCCCAAGGCTGGGAGGGACGGCCGCCTCTGTCCCAGCATAACTCCCTCTGCTGCCCCTTAGGACAGCTCCTCAAGGCCAATCTTGGCCTAAAGATGGAAACCTGAAGCACATTGTGGGCCAGGAACATGCACGTATTACAACCACCCCAGCAGGTGGTAGGCACCGGCACATGTGTTTTGGATGGATGAATGAATGAATGGATTAGTGGGTGAGTGAGTGAGTGAATGGGAGGCAATATATAGAAGAGTGAATAAGAACCCAGACTCTGGGGTCAGACTTCCTGAGTCCCCCTCACTGATCAGAGCTAGTCATCCAACTGCTCTGAACCTCAGTTTCCTCATGTGTGAAGTGAGGATAACGTCAAGGGTCCCCCCCCTCCGTGGAGTTGGGAATGTTAGCCAGATCGATGCACCCACCCACTTAGCAGTAGGGCTGGCACACCAGAAGCTCTCAGTAAATATTAGCCGTGGAGCCCTGTGTCCTGGGTATAGTAACTTGTGGCCCGAACAACGAGAAAGTAAACCAGCTCATGTTTGCACTGCACATGTGAAGTCTGCTGAGGGTGTAGACATGTTTAGCCACACCTGCACCCCAGCCTGCACACACACACATCAGAGACGCTGCTCACAGAAGGACCACGGCAGCAGTGTCCTTGTAGTGTGCTCATCACCTGCTACCATGTACCCACATGCTGTGTCTTCAGAACATTATATTAAACCTCCTGGGGGAGAGAAGAGCCCCTAATTTAATCTGACTTGAAATAGTATCAAAGCTCAGTATCAGGGATCTATGTGGTTAATTCATTTTTTGCCAAGTCATTCATGCATTCATTTGACAGGTGATTGATGGAGCATTGATTGTGTACCAAGCACAGTGCTGGGCACCAGGAATCAGCAGGGGACCAGCCACAGGGATTTGAGCAGTGAGAGGACATTTCACAAGGTCTTTCTGGTTACTGGGCGGAGAATAAATTGCAGGCAGCAAAAGGGGAAGGATGGAAGCCAAGAGCAGATTTCTGGGGGGTCAAAGCCATACACACCCCCCGCTGGCTGGCAGGAAGGATGGATATGGTACAACCATCTCCCACCCCTAGAGTCCAGCTCAGAATGCTTTAGGGAAGCCGAAGCTGTGTCTTCCCTGGAAAGCTATCTGAACTCCTGCAAATGATGGGCGACACTAAGGGGCCCTCACGTTTCCTAGCTTATAGTAGGGCAGCTCCAAATCCTGAGCTCCACTCTTGTTCAGAATGATTGTACTAAAAAGCGGCACATTATCTGGAAAGCCAGTGACTAAAGTGGAAATCACCTGCACCTGTTGAGTGGCAGGGTGTATGTTTCCATGGAATGGCCTGCAAGCAGGTATTCATTCATTCCATGTACACACCACACAGTAGGCACAGGAGGCCCAAAGGTTTAGTGACATGGACCACAGGCCTCATAATCCTTCAGACTAGGTCCAAATCCCAGGTCTCCTGCTTCCTGCCTGTCCAACATTAAGTTACTGTGCAAGTAACTTAATTGGAGCCTCAGTTTCCTCGTCTGTTATATGGGTATATGCAGCCCAATAAGCAGTAGCCTAGGCCTTCCTAAGAGGCCCAGTGATTTCAGCACTCACTCTCCTGTTTCAGGTCGGCACTGACTGGGATGCCAAGGAGCGGCTCTTTCGCAACTTTGGGGGTCTCCTGGGGCCCATGGATGAGCCAGTAGGCATGCAGAAATGGGGGAAGGGCCCCAACGTGACTGTGACTGTCGTCTGGGTGGATCCCGTCAACATCATCGCAGCCACCTACGACATCCTGATTGAGTCCACTGCCGAATTCACCCACTACAAGCCCCCTTTGAACTTGCCCCTGAGGCCTGGGGTCTGGACAGTGAAAATTCTCCACCACTGGGTGCCAGTCGCAGAAACCAAATTCCTCGTCGCGCCTCTGACCTTCTCAAACAGGCAGCCCATCAAACCGGGTGAGTACTTCCGCTATTTCTGTGGGGTAATATTCCATTGCCCGAGGCCTCCTGGGTCCTTCACCCGGGCGGGCGGTGTTGCTCAGACATGGGGCGTGTGGGCCACCTTCGAGAACAGTGCTCTCTGTTCTCAGGATTTTTTCCTGCTCATCCGTCATACAGAACCTTCTAATTTTCTGCCTGTCTCTGCACACTGAGGTGATGTCATCTGTCTCTGTATTAGACACCTATTTATTAGATGCTCTCTCACTGGACTTCTAGAAGGTCCTGATCATATTTAAGACAGGTGGGAAATAAACCCAAGCTGATATTGAGTTTCAGCAAACCTTGTTCAGTGTTTTTAAAAAAAATAACTAAAATAGGAATCTCTGTTCATCAAAAGCATGATACTAGGTGAGGAGAAGTATCACATACTAGAGGAAAATATTTGCACACACAAAAAAGTACTCAAATTCGGAAATCCCCTAAGTCAGAGCAAGCTACAAGCCACAGGCCAAATCCAGCCCACTTCCTGTTTTTGTAAATAAAACTTTATTGAAATGCAGTCATACTCATTTACATATTGACTGTGGTTGCTTTGGGGCCACAACGCCAGCATTGAGTAGCTGCCCACAGAGCCAAAAGTATTTGCTATCTGGCCCTTTAAAGAAAGGGCCAATCCCTGATACAAAAGAAATAAAAAAGAGAGAGCATATACACACACATATAAAAAGATGCTCAGCCTCATGAATAATGAGAGAAATGCAAATTAAAAGTAAAAAGAGATTCCACTTCACATCTGCCATGTTTAGGACATGTTTGAAGATGAGACAACATCATTTGATGGTCAAGATGGAGAATAATAACTGTCCATGTAAGTGCTAGTGAGAGAGCCATGTAATAAAATGAGTTCGCATTTGCTGGTGAAGTTGAACATATACACATACCCCACCGCACAGAAATTCCACCCGAGGTAGAGGCCATAGAGACTTGTGCAGAAATACAGCAAGTTGTTCATAATAGCACCAAACCAGAACCAGTCCAAATATCTGACATCCAATGGACCGACAATGTGGTCTGTTCCGACAGTGGAGGTCTACGCAGCAGGGAACACGGCGTAGGACGTGTTCTAGAACGTGATGTTAGGGTGGGGATATCAGAATTACCATGCATGTATCTAAAGTTCAAAAATAGGCCAAGCCAACAATACAGTATTTCAGGGTTCATGTATCAGTAGAAAGCTGTACAGAAATGAAGGAAATTATTAACAGGAAATTCAGGATGGTGGTTCCCACTGGGCATGGGGTCAGGGAGAGGGGTGTCAGACTCCTAGCATGCCTGCCTTTTTTCTTTTTTTTCCAAAAGGGTTTCTTTTATTTTTCTATTCCCCACCCCCCTTTCTTTTATCACAAGTAACGTCTTCCTCCCTGCTCAATCCCATCCCCAGGAGTGGCCACTGCCAACAGTTTGGTCTACAGTCCTTCTAGAGGTTTCTCAGTGCTTTTAAAGCATTGACATAAATCACAAAGACATTGTCACTTTTTTAAGAATAGAATGACACACTTCGTAGTGAAACTTGCTTTTTTCACTTTCCGAGTCAATATACGTAAAGCTGCCAGCTGCCTAGTGTTCCTTTGGGTTAAGGACCCACAATCTATCTGTCCCTACCCCACCCCCGCCTGGGTAGACACATAGCTTCTTTTGTTGTTGTTGTTACAGATGCCACTGCAAAGAAGATTCTTGAACCTAAGATAGTATGTGCCCATGAAGATGCATCCATAACATAGATTCCTAGAAAAAGGATTTCCAGGTCTCTTAGTGTTTGAAATTGTTCACCTCCATTTAACAGATCGCAAACCCAGAAGCCAGAAACGCATTACAGCCTCTGTTGGCTAAAAAGAGCTCTGGGCTGGGTGTCATTTAGCCAGTGACACAAGGAGAGGGGGACATAGATATGGGGAGGGGCACCTGGAGTCCTAAGAAGGGAGTGTTGATGTGAATTCTGTCCATTTCTGCTAAGTTTTTCTGCTAAGTTTCTGTGCTGAACAAGCAGAAAGATTTGGACCTCATGTTTTCAGGTAATGGAAGTCTGCTTCTCCTCTCCCCCATGAAACAGGCAAAAGACAGCTCCTCCAGAACTAGCGGGGCCAGAGCCCACGCACTTAGGGTCCTCAAGTGTCCCACGGATGAGGCTCACGTCCTCAGCATCTCTAAGGGTTCCCAAAGCCAGACGTGGAGGAGAGGGATGGAAGTGGCCGTCTCCTCTTTGCTTCCCATACAGCTAATCGGACAGAAAACGAGTGACCCTGAATCCACCCCTACCTCAGTAAAATAGCCCGGGGCCATTCATGGGGTCCTGATTTTTCCGATCTTTTCTCCTGGGATTTCTGAGGACAGCGAGGCTCTCCCCACGCATGCCCAGGATGAGCCAAGGGTCATTTTACCCCACTGGGAGCAGCCCCCCAGTCATCAGTAATTGGATCTGTTAATGATGTTCTGGTGACAGGGAACACGAAGGTGGGAGCGATGCAATTTGTAGAATGATTCATCAAGAGTAATTTGCTATTGATGCATCCCTGGTAATCTCAAGAAATCTGATGAGGTGGAATTGAGGGAAATTTAATTATAGAGGCGAGCATTGTGGGCTGATGCTATAATAGCATTTCCCACATGAACCTCATTTTTCATAAGGGTTTTCTGCACCAACCACAATATTTGGTTACCAGCGTTCAAGTGTTTGTTAACTCCTCTTTTCACTTTGAATGTCCTGCCTTTTCTCAGTTTGGGTGTCTCCCCAGTCCCCAGCTTCTCATCTCTGCAGTCCCTGCAGAGATGAAGGCGTTGAGAGGCTCTAGTAGGGAAGTCAGGACCTGCTCCAAAGAGAACAGGCTCTGTCCTCCTGAAAAAACAGAGGAAAAGAAAACAGGGTTTTTTTTCCTGAAAACCCTTTGGTGGGCATCAGGGAGAGGTGGGCCAGACTCCTTAAGGAACTCGAGAACGAGAAGCTCTGCTAAGTATAGCAAGATAGGACATGTGCTCCAGGCGTGCTTCTCAGCTTTCTCTCACCGGTTCCCCTCCAGACCAGAGTCCAGCCCCCCAGCTTCCTGGGGCATTGGGAACTAAAGGAATGACTTTCTCGTACATGCAAGTCAAAGCATATTTTTGGTTCAACTAGCTTTCTCATTGCTTTTTGTTTTTTTAATTATCTTATTTATTTATTTTTGGCTGCATTAGGTCTTCGTTGCTGCGCACGGGCTTTCTCTTTGTTGTGGTCGGCGGGCTTCTCATTGCAGTGGCTTCTCTTGTTGTGGAGCACGGGCTCCAGTAGTTGTGGCTTACGGGCTCATTAGTTGTGGCTCATGGGCTCTAGAGCGCAGGCTCAGTAGTTGTGGCTCACGGGCTTTAGTTGCTCAGTGGCATGAGGGATCTTCCCGGGCCAGGACTCGAACCCGTGTGCCCTGCATTGGCAGGTGGATTCTTAACCACTGCGCCACCAGGGAAGCCCTCCCATTGCTTTTTAAAGGGCAGGCACATATACACGGTCTTTCTTCCTCACTCAGGACCACACATATTAGAAAGTAACGTGCTGATTATCCAGGCTCTCCTGGTTGTCTCCGAGGGTGACAGCCACCATCAAGCAAAGAGGAAGCATTGTCATCTGAATGCTACGTTGTCTTATAAGGAGGTTTCTTCTAATCCTGGTGATCTTGGCTATAGCAAAACCTGATTTGGTAAAACACGACCTACCAGAATCATTAGCCAGTCTTTTCAAAAAAATATATTCTTGTGTTTGGCAATGAAATAAGCCATGAGTGGGAACTTCCTCAAGATAGAAACATCTAGCTTCTTTCCTTCAGTCCAAATGTCTAGACTTTCTGCTTCCCCATCTTTAAGCCCTGGGAAACAGTCACTGTCTCTCTTGTTCATACATTACTTTACTGTTTACAAAGCACGTGAACTTCTACCTGAGCCTCGTGCCAGGTAGAAGTGAGTCTAATTGCTGGAAGGGTGAGTATCCCCATTTTGCAGATGGGGAAACCAAGTCTGCAAAAGACTAGCTCCCAGATGGAAAAATAAAATAAAAAACAAAAGCATTCTTTTAGCTTCCTGCTGCTGTATGAGCCTCTTGGTAGAGTATCGTAATGACAAGAACGGGCTTTGGAGTCAGCCAGCCCTGGATTTAACTCCAGGTCTGTCTCTAAACTACAGCTGCTTCCGTTTCCTCATCTGTAACATAGGGATGATAAAATCCGCCCTATAGTTGTGTGTGTGTATTGTGTACTAATAATGCCAATGATAATAATCCTAGCTAAACTTTCCCAAGTACTTAGAATATGCCAGGCACCATTTTAAGCACCTCACATGAGTCAGCACGTTTAATCATCACAAACAAAGCTACGAGGACGGTACTGGTTCTCCACGCATTTTATTGATGAGGAAGAAGTAACACACCTGGTATGCGGGACATGGGGATTCAAACCCAGACAGCCTGACTGCTGTCCCCGAGCTCTGGCGTGAGACCCCAGTGCTCAGCAAGGCAGAGCCGTTTTGGGAGCCAGCTGGACCTCCCACCCCACCCCACTCTGGTCCCAGCTTCGTGGTTTCCAGGACTCCTTGCTGTGGGCCGTTCATGCCCCACATCTTGGACCGAAGCAGAGATCCAGGTCTTATACAGAGTTCATGGTGGGCATTCAGCAGCCAAGGTGGGGCTGCTCGCCAGGCTCTGAGGTCCACAGACCCGGGTTCCAGCCCTGGCTCTGACTCTCATCACCTGTGTGATTTGGGGAAAGATGCTTTGCATCTTTAATGAGCTTTAATGAGGCTTTGCATCCTCTGTTCCCAATGCCTGGAATTCTCTTCTCCAGGATCTGCACGTGGCTTCTTCCTTCCCGTCAATCAGTGCTCAGCTCAGATGTCATCTCCGCAGAGAGGTCTCCCCGGCCATCCCAGCTAAAATGAACACCCTTGTCACTCTCTAACCCAGGAATCAGCAAGCTTTTATTGTAAAGAGTTAGATAGCAAATTTTTCAGCTTTGTGGGCCATATACAATCTCTGTCTCAGCTACTCAGCTGTGCTGTGGTAACGGCCATAAACAATATGTATCCAAATGGGCATAGCCATGTTCCAGTGAAACTTTATTTACAACAGGTGGTGGCCGCATTTGGTCCAAGGGCCGTAGTTTATCAAGCCCCTGCTCTGACTCGACACACCCCATTTATTCCCTTCATGACACTTATCACTTTCTGGAATGACCTGATTTATTTACTTCTTTCTTTCTTTCTTGTCATCATTCTTCCTCCCCTGGATTGCAGTCTCCTTCATTGTCTGGTCTGCTCCACTGCAGAATAGAGCCTGGCACTTAATAAATCTGTATCAAATAAATAAATGAATGAATGCCTTGCAGATGTAGATGTTTCGTAAATATGTGTTGAATGAATTATCGTCTGGCCTATAGAAAGGGCTCCATAAATACATGCTGAATGAATAGGTGAATGGACCATGCCCTGCACAAAGTGGGCTCGTACCTGTTGAAGGAATGTCCTCGTAGGCTCAGTTTCTTTGTCTGTACACTGGGAGTGCTAAAAGAACTTCCTCGTGAGATTGTCCCGCGAACTGAATGGTGCTACGCAGTGCCCAGCACAGTGCCCAGCACACAGTAGTAGGTGACCGGTCCATGGCTCTTCTAATGATGTAATTGTTCCCTTTGGCTTTCAGAGGAGGCATTGAGGCTGCACAACGGGCCCCTCCGCAGCGCCTACATGGAGCAGAGCTTCCAGAGCCTGAACCCCGTCCTCAGCCTGCCCATCAACCCCGCCCAGGTGGAGCTGGCTCGGAGGAACGCCGCGTCCACCGGCGCTGCACTGGAGCGCTGGCTGGACTCGCTGGTGGGCGGGATGTGGACCGCCATGGACATCTGTGCCACAGGCCCCACCGTCTGCCCAGTCATGCAGACCTGCAGCCAGACGGCCTGGAGCTCCTTCAGCCCTGACCCCAAGTCGGAGCTGGGCGCAGTCAAACCCGACGGCCGGCTCAGGTAGCACCGGGCACGTGGGGGCCCCAGCGGATCTCAAAGGGGAAGCAGCCAGAGGGCCAGTGGGAGCCGGACCCTGGGCTCCCACCCCCGGGGGTGGGGGGTGCCTTTTGTGAGCGGGGCTCTCCTGGCCGTCAAGTGACGGGAGGGAAGGTTTGGAGGCCGAAGCAGGTTCTGCCAGCCACCTGACCCAGCAGGCCGGCTCCCGGGGGTGGGGATGGCTCAGTCCCAGCACCGTGGTGGTCTTACCGCTTCTGATTGATCCTCGAGTGCTACAGGTTCCTTGTCTTCCCCTCAATGACCTGACCGCCCCCCCCCCCCCCCCCCCCGCCAAGCGCTCCCACAACTTTTATTTTGAGCAGCAGAGCTTTGTTGACTAAGTCGTAGGCGGAGGGAGGTCCCGGGTGAGGAGGAAATCCAGGCTGCTCTGCTTGAAGCTGCGAGTGTGAGATTCCTTCTCAAAGCTCAGCCCACCGGGCAGTCCCTTGCCAAGGGCGTCTCCTAAGGTACCTCGTCAGAACCCAAGGGCTCTACAAAACCTAGTTTGAAAAGCACTGCCCAGAGGGGGGGTTTGCTCTCCAGCCCCGCCCTTCAGCTCCTCTGGGCCAGGAAACCCTTGTGCCAGCCCTGAAGTGACAGGACACTAAAGTCACGCTCTCGTGGGCCCGTCCCCAGGGAGGCCTCCCACCAGCCCTTCTCAGGTTCAGCCATCCTCCTTCGTAACTAGATGAGCCGGAGAGCCTTCTGATGTGCCACGGCCAAGGTCCACCCAAACTGTGACCGCCAGACATCCTGGGCTCCAGGCCACCCTCCTTCGAGGCAGAAATTGGGCGATGCTCATGAGCGTGAGGGTCAAACCCCCAGCCGTTCGTGGGCGAGGAGATCAAGACCATGACCCCTCTGGGCCTTGACAGTGGGAACTTTGGGGACCATGAAACGCATAGAGATCCTTGGGAGCAAAACTCCTGAGCTGGTCAGTACAGCAATACCTGTCACGTGCCTGAGCCCTTTGTTCTGAGGACAGGTGTTTGGACCATTTGTGAATCGCACACTCGGTGCTGCTGGGAGCAACCAAACTGCATGGAACAGACTTTTCACGGCCAGGAAAGAGCATTTTAGATTTAGTTTTTAAATTCATGCCCTTTCTTATCCAAGGTGCCAACAGGCCCATCTGACACGCAGTGTAAAAGTGGGACGCTTGAGTATCTGGTTGTTTGAAGCCTAAAGAACAGTGTTATTCAAATTGCTTGAGTTACTGGCAACGCAAAGGGTTTCCTTGCCATGTGTACATCGGAGGGCTGCCCTGCTCATCCGGAGACCCCTCCCCGGAGGCCCCCTCCTCCGCTGATCCCACCCTCCCCCCAAGGACAGGGTTCTCTTGGAAAAGTCCTTCCCACGGAGAGCTGGTCCTTGGCGATTCCCCTCCAGTGTGGGTTTGAAGGTACCGCCATTTGCTCCCAGTGACCTGTCAGCTGTCGCCCCCTACTCACACCCCCAGCCCAGCAAGGCAGAATGTCCTATGGGCCATGGAGGATATAGAGAAGGGACACTTTAGATATTTATTATTTATATGTTTTAGTCAATGACTAATTAGTAGGTGCTGTTTTTGCAGCTTGTCAATTACGTTATCTTACTAACTGAAGCTGCCTTTATTCACTAAAGGCCCCTCCCCCCACCCTTCCACTCCCTCCCCCTCTCATCCTCCAGCCCCTCATGTCTGTCTCTTTCTGTCTCTCTGCTGCTTTATCTGTCTATCTGTCTATCATCTCTGTCTCTGCCCTGCGTTCTCCGTGTCCTCAGTGGGAAGCAGGGGACTTGGACACCATGAGGAGAACGCCTCAACCAGCATCATCCACTGGCCAGAAGTGGGGTGTCCTTGGGAACAGTGGCGCCTCGCTCTTCCCCATGCAGGGTGTTAGCGTGACTCAGCCCTCCGGCTCTGGGGGTGTTGTTGGAATTCCTGAGCCATCCCCGCCACCCGCCCCCAGCACAGGGACGCAACAGGCCAGCGACTTGCGGAGGGAGGCTGTGCCGGCTGCAGAACCTGGGGCGTCCCCGCTTCCTCCATCACTGCCCTCCCGCAGCCAGTCTAACCGTGGGCCTCCATGTGAGGGAAAGCAGGCTCCCTCCACGCCCTGGAGGAAAAGATATCTATTTTAGGAAGATGGTAGGGGGTCAGACCCAACCAGGAGAGCCCAGGAGCTGGCCCAGTGTTTCCAGGGACCTCGGCGTGGCTTTCTCAGAAAGCCCACGTGAGCTCCACATGGGTTCGCAAGTTCTGCGGGAGCCAAGAGGCCCGTGTCACATCCACTTCCTGCCCCCGGCCTCTGCCTCTGGCCAGGGCCTCCCTGAGCCTGTGGAAGCCGCCCGGGGAGCCGCCCTTTCACCCTTCTCGCCACTAGGGCCCTGTGTGTCATTTGTGATGGTTTTGGGGGCTCTGCCCTGGCACGTCCCTGCGCACCCATGAGCCTGCGACTCCTCGACGGGGCCCCACCTGCACCCTGATATTGCTGACTCCTGTTCCATCCGGGAACAAGTGGAGAAATGGGAGAGCTGGCTTACTCTGGGGACGGCCCCCACCCCCACGGCCCAGGCCCCATCCCCTACTCACCGCCAGGAGACTGGGAAGCTCAGGGGCCTCATGGGATGTTCCTCAACATCCTCTGTTTTTGAACCAGAGAATCGCTTTGAAGATGTTACATTTGGCTTTAAGGAAAAAAGGGAGAATTTCAAACAAAGCCCAGGATGATTTGAGCAAAGGTGATGTTTTCCCAGGAGAAATAGTTTAACTCATTTTTGTAATCTACCTGAGGATGATTTATTAGTTAGAGGCCATTGGTCAGGCAACCTTGAGCTGTGGCTGCCTGAGGGTTTCAAAACCTGAGAACATGGTCTCTGGAAATCCTATTAAAGAAGCAAAGTGACTGTGGGCTGAGTCACTGACCAGGTCCTCGGACTTCAGGAGGGCTTAGAGGTGGGACGTGGGCTTGGGGGAGAAGGACACATTGAATAAGCTGCAACACTCTGTCCAATTTCCCATTCACCCCTGTGACGTTCAGGTGGAAACCACGCTCAGGAGGCAGGCAGCCTTCCTGAGTCCCGCTTCCCCGACCATGTGCAAGGCGGTCTGTCTCCAAGGAGGGCACGAGCATTTCCTAGGACCCCCATGTTCTCAGAAGTGCAGATGCTCCTCCCTTTGGAGAAAGGCCGTTCTGATCTCATCAGGAATCATTCCGACTTCATTTGCCATTGTTAGTTTAACTTTCAAAATGCCAGTGGAGTTGAGAAGGAATGAGCACGCCGCCCCAAAAGGGCAGATTACAGCTGCTCTGGGCACATGCCAGGACTGGGGGGGACCATGCTTCCTTCCGGTTCTCCAGTTTGCAGGTGCCAGGAGGATGCTGGCTGGAACCTTGATCTCTTTGCCAAGAGGGTGCAGGGGAAAGGAGGGCAGTAGCTGCTGGGTGTGGGGCCTGAGCAAAGATCCCTTTCGTAGCCAAGTTCACTGGGGACTCAGGACACACTCCTCCAGCAGCACCCAAGGGGGCTGTGCTAGAAACAGCTGTTAGCAAACACCTGCCAGATAGAAGCCACACCCTCTGGCAGGGGTTACAAGTGGCTATAGGGCCCAGAACACTAGCATAGATGAGTGACGCCGTTGGTGTAAGACGTTAGGGAGTGGTGGGGACTGTAGTCTGCAGTGTGCACATGACACAGACAAAAAACTACAGCTGCATCTCAGCTCCAGCCTGAGTTGCATGTGAGAATACGGGCACAGTGCAGCAGAATCATCTAACTTGGTAAGGGAAGCCAGAAATCCATATTTTTATAGGAAATGTGATTTTGAAATGTTGGCATTTTTTTCTTTCCAGAGTGTAGGCAAAGAGAAACCTCACAGTTCAGCCTGTGCGCTGCCAGCAACCCCTGCTCTCTGGAGACGCGGTTTGAAAGGAAGCTAGGCTTGTCCCCGTGGGGGAGGGAAATGACACCACTAGGAAGGGGCAAAAAACTAACAGCTCATGTCCAGCTCCGAAGGGAATGGGGACCTCTTACTAGTCATTCCCGTCCCAAAGAAATGGTCCCTCAGAGGAGAAGTGTCTCATAACTGGCGTGTTCAGCTCTCCTGGTCTCAAGACAGTTTGTACTGAAGGGAAGATGGCACAGAATCTGCAGACCCCAAGAGCTGCCCCTTAGACGTACGGAGGTCCACATTGGCCTGGTCCCCGCCTTCCAGAATTCCATCCTACCAGGCAGAGAGGTCCAGGATGTGTTTCAGGAGGAGGGGTTGGCGTGTCAAACAGCCCGGCTCTCTCCAGATCCCAGGTTTTAGCAGCCATCTTGCCACATGTCCGGAAACATCTTCGGAAGCCGTGCTCACGGGAGGTCCTCTGCTTCTGCCTCACTTACCTTACTATGCCCATGGGTCAACCACAGGCGCTACCTCATGTGTCTGCTGAGAAGTTTACCGGGGTGGGGGTGGGGGGATAAAGGTGTCCAAAATCTGCTGGAGCTAAATGCATAATCTATGCAAGTTCTGTCTTTCTCTTTCTTTCTCTCTCACTCTTTCAGAAGTATTACTTTTTTTACCTGGCAAACAAGATACTGTACAGACCCCTCTTAAGACTGAGGAGGGCTTTCACGTGCCACCTGCGTCTGCCCCTCACGTTGTCATTGGTTCTGTCCTTGCCAAGCCCCAGGCAGCGAGAAGGCAGCCCTCTGTCGCCCTCCCCTTGGCTGGGAACGCTCCAGCCGCCTCTGCCTACACACCCCGCGGGAAAGCAGGTTCTGCACCTTGCCACCTCCGTTCACAGCTCCATCCTCTCCACCCCTCATTTGCCTCCCTATCCTTCCCTTCCCCCACCCCCAAAAGCCGTAGGTTTCTCCTTTTTGAAATGAGGCCTTAAAATTATTTTGGGAAAGCTAACCACCCTCCCCCTCCCATTTCCACCAACATCCGAGAAGAAAGAGCATCTTGAAGCTCTCAGGGCAACCTCCTAAGCCAGGGGCTGCCAAGCTGTAGCTTGCAGATGTGATAGAAATGGTGTCTCTTGTCGTCCTGAAGAAAAATTTTCTGTTTTTCCTGTGGGTAACATGAAGGCTTGGGTGCTCATCTAAACCTCAACCAACTCCCGAAGCACTCTCCTAGAGCATATCGCCACTGCGATGGGCTGCCGACGTGGGCTTTCCAGCCCTCCCCCGACCCCCGAAACTTGGTGACTTTAGGTACTTCATTCATGGGTAAATCAGGAGAGTTTCTCAATATATCTCTTCATCCTTCCTGCCTGGAAAGTGATAGCATTAAATAGTCCCAGCGGATGGCTCATGTTCTCAAAGGGATCACACTCTACCTACTTTCAGAAGCCCCCCATTTCCCTGCCATCGCTCCAGGGCTGATGGAGGCCAAAGACAACCCCAGGGTTTTCATAGGAAATTCACTGGAATTGAGCGCAATCGTCTTTGTCGTCCTTTGTCTATATATATATATATATATATATATATATATATATATATATATA